AGAGGAAATCAATAAAAGGTAAACTTCACTATAAGTAAGTCATTTGTATAATATATTATAACTGTAATATCGGCATAAAATTAAAATACAAATATCTTTCAATTTTTGAAATGCTGCTCATATAAATTTAGCAAGCAAGCAATTTAATTAAACCCAGCCTGTGAGATTTGAACACCCCTTAAGAATGACACTCGGGTGTTACAATTGATTGGGCGAGATGAATTAAATGTTGTACTCAACAGTCACTCCATCGTGCTCCGATGCTACAGACCACCCCTTTCCCCTCTATAGCACTCTGATGCGCGATAGGTGCCCTCTTTCAGCAAAGTGCTTGTCGTGTGGTAGTCCTAGGTGCAAGAACTCCAATACGATATCCTATCCCGATGAAAGCAGGTCATAGTAAGGCGCTCTTTTCCTGCTATTTCTCGTGACTTATTATCGAATCTGAAATTGTTATCTCGGGCCCCAAGTCTCCGCTCCGTGTTCGGTGACTTATCGCTCGAGCATGTGGGCTTTCGTGCCAAATTTAGGTGTGGTTAGGTTTTGTTAATTTTTTTTTAGTATCCGAAGCCGTTTTTTAAGATTTTTGTGATTTTTTATTAAGATGTCTGAAAAGTAATATCATTAGTCATTATTAAAATTGCCAGTGCTATGTGATGGGTTTTCTTCTGTTGATAAAGCTACGATTTTCTAGACTTTATAAATTTTGTAAATATAAATATTTTACTACGCAAATAATATAAACTAACTGTTCTGACCAATACAACCTATAATTTCTCTCTATATAAAATCTCATTTAAAGAATCTTAAAATGTTTGAAAATGTTTTCCAAGTAATATAAATTCTTTATGCTATACAACTAATCTAAATAGTATGTTTTCACCAATTTTTAATACCCTCTTACTTGAGTAATATTAAAATATTTATCCAAATTTTTATGTACATAACAAATATAAATCCTTTATTCTTTTAGAATCTAACATATATTTTTCTAACGTATATATTTTTTTGTAATGGGGATAATCATTTCTTCTTCCTTCTAGTATGTAGGCTTTAAAGCATCCTTCTTCTTCAATATTAGCCTTCTAAATTGTCGCACCATCTTTTTCTTGGTCTGCCAATACTTCTTCGTCAATTTGGTGACTTATCTTGTGCTATTCGTACTATTCTGTCCTTTGCCATTCTACTGATATGTTCGTTCCACTCCTGTTTTCGTTTTGTCACCCATCCATTTATGTCTTTGATATTGCATGCTCTTCTTATGTGTTTGCTTCTCTCCCTATCCAGTAGACTTCTCCCTGATATTCGTCGGAGTATTTTCATCTCTGTTGTATCTAGCAGTCGTCTTGTTTTAGATGTGTCAGGTCTTGTCTCCGCCGTGTATATTAATATAGGTCTAATTGCTGCTTTACGTATATTTTTGTTTTTGTGTCTTTTTCTTCAACATCTCTGTAACTAGTTATATCTATTCCCAAATATCTAAACCTTGCTTCCTGCTATATTATTTTCCCATTAATTTAGATTTTACACCTTACTGGGTGTTTAGATGTTGTCATACATTTGGTTTTGTCTGCTGATACGATCATATTCTATTTCTTAGCTGTTGTATTGAAGATATGTGTTAATCTTTGGAGCTCGTCTTCTGTGTCAGCGATTAACCCTTAATTTGGCAAGCCTTAATATAACAGTAATTTTTGTGAAATTGTCGTTTAGGTAGTGTGACATGGTATATCACAAGGCGTTTTGACCATTTTTATATTATTTTTTTTTATAAACAAGGGAGATATGGAGTGTATCCCACAAGATACATAGTCAAATATTCAAATTTATTATAAAAGTTTATTATGTATTTTATAAGAAACAAAGTCGAAGATTGTAGGTAAAACCTCACAATAAAAGCAGAAACTTAAAGTACTAAACTAGTTTTCTAATGAAAAAAAAAGCAAAAAGTAATAAAGTAATATAATAATAAAGTAACATAATTTTTCATTCTAGTAAAAAATAACCAAAACTGTTGTAAAACTTACTTATGTGCTACACAATCTAAGAGAACATTTTGAACATGACCAGTTGTCTCTCCTGATTTACAATACCTACACATGCCTTTGGTATCATAAATAGGAAAATGATCAACTTTATCAAATCGTATTTCCTCTGATGGTCTCGGCAGAATGCACTTTTTAATTTTTTTAATTTCTTCGGTTCGCTCGGACAACACTCTTTTATTTTTTCTGCCCTTTGTTGTTAGAGTCTCTGCTATGCACTTTCTAAAATATTTGAGAGTATAACCTTTGGACGTGTGTTCTAAAATATTTTTATCCCTTCTATACAGAATCCATGCGTAGTTTATACAAATATCTAGCATTTGTGCAAATATGCAGAGGTACCAGCGACGAGTTTTTAGGGGAATTCTATAAAGGCTTACCAGCATGTCCATCAGATCTACTCCACCCATGTGAGCATTGTAGTGTTTTATGAGAGAGGGACAAGGGACTTAAATTTTTGCTCGCTGCCTTTTATCATACCTTTTAATTGTTTGGACAGGTGTAGAAGATATATATGTACTGGCAAGTAAAACAGGTGTGTTGTCAAACCATTTCACAACATTTATTTTAATAATGTTGTCAGTTTTTGAACAAAACGACCCTCTTCTTTTTTCTTCATTTCTCATTGTTCCCAGGGCTAAAATTCCATAATCATGGCGAAGAATGTAAAACAAATCAAAACTTGAAAAGAAATTATTGACATAGATAACACTGAGCGCCGGTGATTAAACTATGAAATCGTACACAAATCCTGAAATACAGTCTCTAACAAATATTTTAAAACCCATTTTTTTGGTTTTGATTTTATATACTGTCGTCATGAACCAGCCTTTTTCCCTTTATAAGGGACCATCATCTCGTCGATACTTGGCGTCTTTCTTCTTCTATAATAGAACAATTTCTTCTCACTATATCCAAAACTGGGCGAATCCGGTAGTACTGATCGTTGTTTATATGATCGTTATTTGCGAAGTGAATATACCGGCAAATTTTCTGATATTGTTTGAGAGGCATTATTTCTGATATTTGATTGTATCTGAAGTTTACACTCCAGTAGTCCAAGTATGATGGCATAGCTACTATACCCATCAAAATCTGTATCTCTATGAAGTCACTTATCTCATCTTTGGTAACGCTTATCGACTTGCCTGTTTGCTGAACGGAATAACGGTTTGTATTGTTGACAATCAACTCAAATAGATCGTCTGAAAAAAATATTTTGGAATATTCTAATGGTGACTTTAAGTTATTAACATCAGAAAATTTATTTTCGGTAATGTTCACAGGATATTGAAATTCTTCTTTCATCCAGTGGTATTCAAGCGAATTCTGAGGTTTCGTGCGTTTACTTTGTAGTTTGCCTTTAGGTTGGTTAGTATTGTCGTTATTATCTTTAGATGGTCCAGGTATCTGATGTTGTGATCGTGTTTTTAGAAGACTTAAAGCAGATTTAGGTATACTGCAAATATATTTAAGCGTACTATAAGCAGATTAATGTGTTGATAGCTCTGGTTTTAAATGTTCAGTTTCGGATGCTAAATCTGTATCTGATAATGTATCAAAAATTTCTTGAACTTAAGGAGGTAAACTTTCGACCTCAGAACTTTCATTGGTTTTAGAACTTTGACTTCTATATGGATCCATATCAGAACTTTGAGTTCTAGATGGTTTAGTATAACTTTCATTTTCTTCATCGCTCGGATCATCCATATCAGAACTTTGAATTCTAGATGGTTTAGTATAACTTTTATTTTCTTCATCGCTTGAATCATCCATATCAGATAAATCTGGTGAAAGTAATGCTAAAATTTTTTCCGACTTGATGATGTCATATTGGTATTTATCTGAAACCAAGGAAATGCTATACTTACCTTTATAACTAAATGAATTCATTTTGAAACGTTTCATTAAACAAATTTTAGTAATGAAATTCGAAATGAAGTGTGGGATACGTACAAAACACAAATATTCCACAATACTGAATATATGGAAAAGAAAACCATAAGATACATAACAAAAAAGTTCCATTAAGCTATATATTTGTCAAAGTAGATTATAGGATACAAAACAAAAATGCTCTTTAATGCTGTATCTTTGGCAAAGTAGATTATAGGATACAGCTTAAAATGGTTCGGTATCGTCACTTTTGAATATTTATATATAAATATTCATATATGAATGATTATAACACATCATCATACTATAATTTCACTTCCTGTATTAAAACAAAATACTTATTTTTACAGTAATACTGAAAAAAAATTACCAGCCTTTTTTTAATCGGCGTTCACTAGGCAACCATCTTATAAACAATTGTGAATAACTTTGAATGATCACTATAGATGGCAGTACTATTAGCTTTCTGAGTTTAGTAGACGTATACGTAATACATTTAACAGACAATAATGAGTAAATTATAGAGATAGACAATTTGAATATTTGAAAATGACGTAGTCTATAAGATTCAAATCCAAATTAAGGGTTAATGCGCGTCGTCTGCATAACATAATATTTGGATTTCTTTGTTCCCCATTCTGTAGCCATTACCTTTACGTACTGCTTGTATTATTTCATCCATAATTATATTAAAGAGAAGTGGGCTCTGTATTCGATTTTGGAGGTTAACGTTTTCAGTGGTTTGTATAATATTGATATGTTTATTTTATACAGTAGGTGTAAGACGTCTTCGACTTGATACGATCGAAAGCCTTTGTCAGGGGATAATTCCGTATATTAATAAATAAATAAAACAAAGTGTGTATTTCTAATGAGCTCTGTTGCGTGGAAATAGAAATTTAAACAATATTTTTTCATTGCCCCTATTACTTTATTATGGTTCCAAGTTTAGATTTTTATTCTAAATTTAACCAGTATTAACACTCTATCTGGCCTCAAAAGTTTTCTATTCTCTTTGTGTTTATACTTTACTTATATATATTATTGCAATACTTTTAGGACACTGCAACCTCTAGTTCTTGCGGAATTATTAAAATATTTTAACACAACCGAAAAGTATGATCTTCTCGGTGAGTATTCAGGATGGATATTAGGAACTGCTACTGTACTTTTAGCCTTTTTCTTTGCTCTCTCTTACCACCATTCAACCTTGGGATCACAAAGAATTGGAATGAGAGCAAGAGCAGCATGTTCTGCGTTAGTTTATAGAAAGGTATATGTATGTTTAAATATTTTTTGTAGGAAGATATGGCGTCCCTAGAAGGATAAAATTATAACTTTAAAACCCGAAAATTAAGAATAATCTATTAAAACTTTGTTAAAATTATATTTACTTAAATTATTAATTTTAGTTACTTCAGAATTTCCAAATTTAATTTTAAAAATAAACTTTATTAAAAGGGACTTAAATTAAAAAACTGGTTCCTCAAAATGACATTGATAACCTCGCCTTAGATAATTTGTTGTATTTGATAAAAAAATTTACAATTTGTTTAAAAATATTTGTCTTGCACCATTTGACAGCAACACAAAACTTCACGATTTTTCACTTTTAACTAAACCGGCAAAATTAAAACACAAAACTATATTTTACTTTAATGTGTATGTGTGTTTTATTGGCACTAGTTGTAACAACCAACTGATCAGTCAATTTGTTCTAAGATCTCTCTTTACACAAGATAGGGTTGGTATTTACATTTAAAACTATTGTATTGCATTGACAGTTAAGACATGGAATGTTAGAAACTTACATACTAATTTACTATGTTTTTACTGTTTATTGTTTTGTTTTTTGTATCTTTTAATAATCTTTTAATAATGATCAAGGACATGAGCAACCAGAAACAAGAAAGGGTAAACCCATAAAAATGCTGTTAGCAACGAGCGGGAATATAAACAGTAACTATGTAAAACCCAAATTGAACAAGAAACAGCTAAATGACACAGCCCACAATAACGGAGCAGTGGAATGTCAGAGGTCTCAACGGCAAAGAAGTTGAACTTGCTGAAGAATTTGAGAAAAATCAAATAGACTTACTGGGTATAACAGAGACCAAAAAGAAGGGAAAAACACAGTTTTTAGAAAATGGACACTTCCTCATCACCAGTGGAGTGTTACTTGGCGAAAGGGCAAAAGAAGGGGTAGGCTGTCTAATACACAGTAACCTAATAAAGAATATTTAAGATTAAGAATGAGTTTTAAAAAGAATTCTGAAGATAAAAATGGTAACTGTGGAACACAAACTAAATAGTCAATATCATCGTTATATGAAATAACTGATGACGAAAGAGCAGGTAGCAAAAACCTTTTCTAGAATAAGGCCTCAAAAAATAATAGACAGTTAAGAAGGCAATACTAGGGGATCTAATCGTATACTTGTATTAAGTTTATATTAATCTTACTTTTGATGATAACTATTAAAAGTAAGATTATTATAAACTTATTACAAGTATACGCTCCTACAAGTAACAGTACAGGCAACGAAATTAATGAATTTTACCATGTATTAAAGCAAGCAATAAATAACACAAAAAAACACGAAATTTGTGTAATAATGGGAGATTTCAACGCTAAAGTAGGAGAAAACATAACTCCCGGAATTACAGGAGGATTCGGTCTTGGTCAAAGAAACGAAAGAGGTGATAGAATGGTGGAGTTCTGCCAAGAGGAAAACTTTGTTATCACCAACACATGTTTTAAACAACCAAAAAGACGTCTCTATACATGGATATCACTGAGAGATGGCCATGGCAGTGTAATGCGTAACCAAATAGATTATATCATGATTAACAATAGATTTCGAAATTCATGTAAATGTACTAAGACATATCCAAGTGCCGACGCAGCCACCGATCACAATTTACTGGCATCTAGAATCAACCTAAAATTAAAGACAATCAAAAAGCCTTCCATTACAAAGGAATACGATAGACAAAAACTAAAAGAAGAAGAATTTAAACATCACTTTGAACAGACCATAAACGAAAAAATTCGAGACATCACACAAGTATACAATGTATCAACAGTCGAAGAAAGATGGAATAACATACTCAGAGTATAAAAGAAAGCATAATCTGATTCGAAGAAAAATCAGGGAAGCCAAAGAGTTATGGATGCGAGCAAAATGTGAGGAACTAGAAGAATTGCAACAAAACATGACGAATTTAACACACATAAGAAAATAAAAGAAGTTACAGTACACAAAAGAAATACACCCATAACATTAACGAATAATGAAGGTCATGCACTATCCCTAGAAGACGAAGTAATGGAGGAATGGAAAAACTACATTAAAGCATTATTTAAGGATGATCGAGGATCACTACCTAACTTAAGTGCAAATACAGGACCATCAATCTTAAAAGCTGAAGTGGAAAAAGCCATACACTAAGCCAAAAACAACAAAGCCAGTGGACCAGATCAAATATACAGCGAATGGCTAAAATTACTCTCAAATGATAATATAAAAGAACTCACTGTACTTTTCAATCAAATGTATGATACCAGTGAAATTCCATCGGACTGGTTAAAATCGATCTTTATTCCTCTACCTAAGAAACCAAACGTTAAGAAATGTAGCGATTGTAGACTCATTAGTTTAATGAGCCATGCCGTTAAAATACGGATTCATATTCTTCTAAACCGAATTAACAACAATTGCGAAGAAATAATTAGTCAAGAGCAGTTCGGCTTTCGGAGATGCCTTGGAACTAGAGAAGCACTATTTTCTATGCAAACACTCGTTCAACGATGTTGGGAGGTAAGAAAACCCGTATATATGTGCTTCATTGATTTTGAAAAGGCATTTGATCGCGTTCAGCATACCAGACTAATAACCGCCTTGCAGAGCATCCAGCTAGATGAGAAAGACATCAAACTTATTGCCAAACTTTACTGGAACCAAACAGCCATTAATAATACCAACAACAGAGAATAAAAGCCAATCAGTATTGAACGAGGCGTAAGACAAGGCTGTATACTATCTCCCACCCTCTTTAACATGTATTCTGAGAATCTATTTAGGGAAGCTTTAAAAGATCAAAAAGGAATTATCATAGGAGGAGAAATAATTAACAATATACGGTACGCCGACGATACTGTGATTCTAGCTGAAAACATCGACGATCTGCAGGAGCTAATCAATAGAGTTGACATGGAATGCACAAATTGGAGACTCTCGATAAATATCGATAAAACTATATACATGGTGACCAGTAAAGTGGATATCGGCGCAACCCAACTGATATCAAACCAACAACCGCTGCAGAGAGTTCAGAGATTCAAATACCTTGGATGTTGGATTACCCAAAATCTAGATCCATCCTTCGAAATTCGATGTAGAATTAAACAGGCAAGAAACTCATTTCAAAAATTCAAGCCTCTATTATCCAATAACTCAATAAATTTGGAAATCCGTGAAAAGTTTACAAGATGTTACGTTAGGTCTGTACTTTGGTATGGATGTGAAACTTGGACTTTAAACGCCGATATCATAAATAAAATCGAGACGTTTGAGATGTGGTTGTATCGAAGAATACTAAAAATTCCATGGACTAGCAGAACCAGAAACGAAGAAGTTCGTCGGAGAATGGGACATCAACGAACTCTATTAAATATTATTAAGAGGCATAAACTAGAATATCTTGGACATATAATCAGAGGACCAAGATATGGGTTCCTTCGGCTAATTCTCAACGGTAAAATCGAAGGTAAGAAATGGATAGGACGGAAGAAACTCTCTTGGTTAAGGAATTTGCGGCAGTGGACAGGTTTGACAGCGGACCAATTGCTACACGTAGCCCAATACCGAGATTAGTATAATAATATTATAAGCATGGTAGTCGCCGACGTTCCGTAGGGATATGGCACTCTAAGAAGAAGAGGGGATCTAAATAAATATATAAGAGAAGTTAAGAGTAAAGGCAAAAGATCCATCATAGACTATGTGTTAGTAAATAGATCATCGACGCGATGCAGTAAAGACGTAAGAGTAAAACGAGGAGCTAAAATATATAGTGACCACTATTTAGTTGTAGCCAGGATCAGCTTGGGAGTGCGACAAGGATCAATAATGAAACCAACGACCACGAAAACAAGTAAAGCTCATGATACACCCACTATACATAGACGTAATCAGGTCACATAAGCTAGCGGACAAGGAGACAGCAAACAAGTTTGAAAACTACGTTAAAAACTGCCTAACAGCACGCTGAACATGACTGTGACTTAGACCAAAATTGGCAAATACTTAAGGAAGCACTCCTAAACGGTGGTAAACAAGCATGCGGAATAACATAACCGGAAGAAATAACCGAAGAAAAAAGTGTACAAACTGGTGGAACAATGAAATAAAAGCAGAAGTGAAGTCCAAGAAGATAGCATGGAAAAATTATTTGAGGAACGGAATTGCAGACAACTACCAAATATATAAACTGCAAAGAATCAAAGTCAGAGATATGGTACTAGCAGCGAAACGGAAGAGTTGGGAAGAATTCGGAAACAAGATGGAAGAAGACTACTACTCTAACGAAAAGTTATTCTTTAAGACTCTGAAGAATTTAAGAAGCGAAAAGGCTCCACAAACACCAAAGCAAATAAGGGACAAAGAGCATTTCTAGAATATAAGTAGATTTTAAAAAAGGTCATATTAGCCTAGTCTGGATATGCAAAAATCATTGATTTCACGGCAAAATTTTTCGCAAATATCTGAAGCTTTTAAGACATACGTTGGGGTTACTAAGATGATGAATAGATGTCAAAGTACTCGTATTTTTACCTTGCGTTTTTTTTAACAATAATATATGGTCATAATTTAATTTTTTGTCTATAAGTTTTTTCCCTTATATTTTACATAAACAATTTCTTAATTTTCCCGTTTTTTTAAACTAAAATTAATAAATAGTTTACGGAGATATTTACAAAAAAGCAGTTTTTTTGCACTAATTTATACATTTTATTAATTTTTTTTTATTAACAAAACAAAATATTATTAATACATTCGAACATCAAGAAATTACCATCTTTTAAATTTGTGCGAAATCTCCCTCCGATCTGTCTAATTGTTTAAAAGTTATTTAATTTATTTATCCCTGAGGCTAAATATTTAAACTATTAAACTTGCTCTATTAATGATGCTAGACACATTTAGCAAATTTTTTAGGATTCTTCAAGACTTAAACTGTCTCAGAAGTTTAAATACACATTGCGTTTTTTTTGAAATTATTTACAAAATAAACGTTTGAAAACGGGGTATGTTTTTTTACTTATGAACAATTATAATAACTTCTATATTTTTCAACTACAGACTTGTACGTACAACCATTGGATAGCTGATAAAACAACTCACGTTAAACAAAAACATTCTAAGACCAATAGGAACGAAGTTAGGAACTATTTTTTAAAAAATCTCCATTGTAACTTCCAATTGAAACACGTAGAAAAAATTTACTTTATCTGTAGTTACAATTTACATTATTTGACGATCTATATGTTTATATATGTATGCAGATATATATACAGATATATATACAGATATATAATACAGATATGTACGAAACATTTTTCGACCTTTTTGTAAACAGACTGGGCTTTATGTTAAAACTATGAAGAATAATAAAACAACATTTATAAAATATTGAAGTAAACATCTTACGTTTCCAAATAACTGGGTATTTTTTTTCTGCTACTTAATGTTCCCGTGTATACTAAATGTTAACATCGGTTAACCCCTATAATAACACATCTGAGGAAATAAAAAGGGGAATAATAATTCCAAACAGGTGTTATCATGGTCTATCAATGTACTTAGCTAACAAACGTCTGTCTCAAAAAACTCGTATAAGGCTGTATAGAACACTGATAGTCCCCGTTCTCACATAGGGATCAGTGGCATGGACGCTAACTAAAACAGATGAATCCGCTCCATCGATTTGCTTCGATTTGCGTAGAACTTTGAACTGCAGAATATCTAGAACCATACATTTGATGGTAAAGATATAACACTATAATTAAGCGAAACCACCTGCAGTGGGCAAGACATGTAGCCCGGGCCCCTAAATCGAACATGATAAAAAAGATAAAAAGCGCAACCCGTGGGAATGAGAAGACGGGGTAGGCCAAAGCTGAGGTGGATGGATGAGGTAACACAAGATGCGGATAAGATCGGAGTCGGCAACTGAAAAATGCAAGCAAGGGACAGAACAGAATGGGGTAGAAAGCTTGAGAAGGTCGAGTCCCTCTAAGGGCTGTAGCACCAAGATGATGATTATCATGATATACTAAATGTTATTATGCATTAATATTACGTTTACACATTGTTTTTTTTTAATAAAAATTATAAATACATATTAATGTAAATAATGATACCTATTATTTATTCTAGTTATTGAAATTAAGCCAAGCGTCTTTAAACAAAACCCCAGGTGGTAAAATGGTAAACCTTCTTTCCAATGATTTACAAAGATTTGACACTGCTTCATTGTATTTACATTTTATTTGGGTAATGCCATTCCAAGCTGCTATTTGCTTTTACATTATGTATCAAAGTGTCGGAATAGCTGCTCTGGCTGGAACAGTGTTTATGCTTGTAGAAGGAATTGCTATGCAAGGTAATTATAGTTTTTTGTTAAAATACAGTAAAGGTTTATAAATTAAATATGATCTAAAATAAGTCTAAAAAAACTACGCGGAATTAGACAAATGATACCTTCAAGTTTTAAATACATTATGCTTATCAGGATGCCTTCAGACTGGTAAATACCACAAGAGGGAGTAAGAATAGGGCTTACTGGACCTAATATCAAACTCTGTGTGTGTGTGTGTGTGTGTGTGTGTGTGTGTGTGTGTTTTATTGGCACTGGTTTTGACAACCAACTGGCCAGACAATTTGTTTTAAGTTCTCTCTTTACAAAAGATATTGTTAGTATTTACATTTAAAACTATTGTATTGTATTGACAGTTAAAACATGGAAACTTATTTACTAGATTACTCTGATTTTGCTGTTTTGTTTTTTGTATCTTTTTTTTTATTTTTTATTTTTTTTTTATTTTATTTAATTTTTTTTTTATTTTTTTTTATTTATTTTTTTTATTTATTTTTTTTTTATTTATTTTTTTATTACTACGCTAAGACATAAACCCGATTCGACACCTCGGAGGTTTAGATCTTCTTAGTATTTTTTTTATTTTGTTCTTCATTTTTTTTATTCTTTATTATTTTTTTTATCAGAGCTTTAATTTTAAACAATTAATATGACTATATAAAATTTTATATACATCTAGATTTTTTGACTCTAAAAGATGTGTTAGATTAGAAGGTAATTGAACATTAACTTGAACTAGCTTGGTAAAAAAATTTGATATTTCAATAAAATGTAAAGGACATTCTAACAGCATATGTTGTAGATCAGCTAGCTCTCCACATATACATTCATTATTATTTGCCAGTCCCATTTTTCTTTTGTAGACTGGAGTCATACAATGATTGCTTCTTATTCTACAAATAGTTTTGATGAAGCCCCTGTTGGAAACTTGTTTAAACCATGTCTTGACGGAAATTTTGGGTTGGATTATTTTATAAAATTTGCCTTTGTCCGAATTGTTGTAGTGTCCCTGCCATTTGGTCCGTTTAAGAGACCTGATTACAGATATTAAATCTCCCATAGGAAGTTGATAAGTTTGAAGAGTGGATTCTTTCATTGTTGCTTTTTTTGCCAGATCATCTACTATTTCGTTGTTTTTTTATACCAATATGTGCTTTTATCCAGCACAATATGATATTTTTGCCCGATTTCAAAGCTTCACTGTTCAGTGATATAATGTCACTGATGATATAATTGTCTACAAAAGTATGAAAATTATATTTCAGTTTATGTACAATGCTTTGGCAGTCTGTAAATGTAACATAGTTGTGTTCTTTTTGATTCATACATATTTTGTAGGCTTCTTTGACTGCTATGAGTTCAGCTGTGTAAGTTGTCATTTTGTCGGGTAATCTGTTGTTTATATTTATACTTTTTTGGGGGTAGAATATAGCATATCCAACTTTGCCGTCCATTTTTGAACCATCTGTATATAATTTTTGATAACTTCCCCAATGACTTTGTACATACTGAAGGTGATCTATTTTAGTAAGAAAATCTGTGGCAAGAGTATTACTTTACTTGGCAGTTAAATGGAGATAAATAATCTTCATAGTTTAATTTTCGAAATGAGGGTTGTTCCATTTTGCATATGTCTTCAATATAACAAGAAACGTTGAGAAAACTTTCCACAACTAAAAGCTGCTTCTTTTTTTCCCAGTAATGATGAGTTAGGTATGTTGTGGTTAATTGTACAATTTTATTTATCAACAGTTTATTGTTAACTGCCACTTTAACTATAAATTTTTCACTTAAGAATTCTCTGCGTAATGAAAGTGGAGGTTAATTAAGCTCACATTCCATGACCAATATGGGAGTACTACGAAGATAACCAGTGCTTAATCTAAGTGCCTTATTTTTTATACTTTCGATTTTTTGGATTACAGCGTTTGATGCTGAGCCATAAAATATAGATCCGTAATCTAGGATCGATCTCATTAAATTTCTGTATAGTAATATTGAGATGTTTTGATCAGCTCCCCAGTTACTGACATTTACAGTCTTGATGATATTCATTGCGTTTTCCGTTCTTCTTAATATATAATTCGTGTGTTCTTTCCAATTCAATTTTGAGTCTTAGAACACGCCAAGGAATTTTATTGAAGTTTTATAATTAATTTTATAATTATCAAATTGTAGGTGGTTTGGGGGAGAATAACGTTTTCTGGTAAAAGTAACAATGGTTGATTTACTCTCCGAGATTGTTAAATTCTTATCCGCCGCCCATTTTTTTATAATATTCAATCCTGATTTAAGGTGTTCATTACATTTATCTATTGACTTATTTTCTACATAGATTGCAACATCATCAGCATACTGTAAGATTTTTATGTGTTGAGAAAGTTTATTTTCTAAATCAGCAGTATACAGAATATATAATAGAGGACTCAAGATGCTACCTTGTGGTAGTCCTAAAGATGTGTACCGTGTGTTAGATTTATCACCATTTAATCTAACGTGTACTGATCGATTAATATACAAATTAATGATATTCCATGTTACAGTTTCAGGTATTCCTATTTCCAACATTTTCGCATATAGAATGTGAAGATTAACATTGTCATAAGCCCCTTTTATATCTAAAAACAAAGCACTAACTGCTTTCTTACAAGTAAATGAACCATAAATGTCTATCAATAAGTGACTCAGGCTTTCTTGTGTGGATTTACCTTTTCTAAAACCAAACTGAGTTTTTGGGAATAGGTCGTTCTTTTCTAACCAAAATTCCAGACGGTTTTTAATAAGTCTTTCATATGTTTTAAGTATACATGACGCCAGCCCTATTGGACGGTAAGAATCCCAATTATTTAACGATTTTCCGGGTTTCAAGATCGGAAGAATAATATAAACGTGCCAATCGTCAGAAATCTTTATGCGCCGTGACCAAATTTCATTGTATATATTCAGAAGCACAGTCTTACCAATTTTTGAAAGATTTGATAGCATCGAGTAATGGATTTCATCAGCACCTGGTGCTGAATTTGAATTTTTCTTTAACGAAAAGTAAAGTTCAGTGTCAGAAAATGGTTTGATTAAGAAGCGGATTTGTTCTGGATAATCGTATTGCGCATTCAGTTGTAGATCAGGAATTACTAATTCTGCAGACAGTGGAGTGATATTTTGGTGGAACTCGTCTATCCATGAAGCTTCCGACAATATTATAGAGACTTTGTTCTTAGTTTTTCTATTTTTTAGTCTATTAACTTTTGACCATACATCTTTAATGGAAACCGACCTATTTAAGGACTTGACATAATCTCTCCAGCTATTTCTTTTAGCTTGTTTAGTGATCTTCTTCGCGTGGGTATCATCTTTTTTATACTTGAGTAGGTTTTCTTGGTTTGGATTATCTTTGAATATACAAAAACTTTCCCGTCTTCTTCTGACTGCTTCCTCACATTCTAAATCCCACCAGTATTTTCCTCTGGAAGTTGGTTTTTTTATTTTAAATTTGGGGATGCTGTAGGATGCAGTTATATTTATATTGTGCAAAAATTTTTCATATGAATTTATATCTTCAGATTGAGAGAAGATATCTTCCGAAAATTGTTCATATAATTTCCAGTCGGCTTTCTTTAAATTCCACTTTTCTGAATACGGGTTATATATATGAGTTGGTTGATCCGCTAATTCCATCCTTATAGGAGCATGGTCTGAACCAAATAGGTCTTGAAGTGTTTTCCAAGTGATCAGATGACTTAAGTCAGGAGTACAAATCGTCAGATCTATTGCCGATTTCGAAAAGTTTCTAAAGAAAGTAGGAGAGCCATCGTTTTTGTATATCAAATTATTATCATCTATACAGTCCATTAAGATTTTGCCTTTTATATCTGTATGATTGTCGAAGCCCCAGGCAATGTGATGAGCATTGAAGTCGCCTCCTATTATGAATGGTCTTTCTATAGATGTAATGAAATTGTTCCATTGTTGTAACGATAATTTTACTCCTGGGGGAACATACATCGAAATAAATGTTACAGTGAATGATTTAAACTTAATTTTAATGGCTACTTTATTGATGTTGAATAATTTGACTTTCATGGTGACTTCCTCATAATACAGATTTGAGTTTATTAAAATTGCCGAGCCACCACCGACAGTTGCTGAAAAGCGGTCGTCTCTGACAATATTATATCCGTGAAAGTTAATATAATTTTCTGGTTTAAATCTAGTTTCTGATAATAATGCGATATCAACTTTCTGGTCTTCTAGTAGGTGAAGGAGATTTTCTCTATTAGAGTTAGCCGATCTACAATTCCATTGACAAATTACCAAACTATTCATTATTATATGAGAGAGAACTTAAAACTGTTTGAATTAAATTTATTAAAACTGATTTTTCTGGGATTTCAAAATTTTTGTGATTTATATTAGAAATAATACTTATAATATTTGATATTAACTCTGTTAATTCTTTAGGAGGTTCATGTATTTTGGATCCTTGTTCTGCATTAAATGTAGATTGATAAGAAGATGAATTGAAAATGCCACCAGGTCTGTTGGACATGGGGTTTAACTTTATTATTTTTTGATGTTCTATTGCTATTGGGTCTTGCGATGAAGAGAGGGGTCGTTTGGATTTTGGAGGTTTTGTTATTGTATATCTGTTTGAAACTGTAGGGTGGGCGTGCTGGTTAGGGGGTGAGGGGGAAGTGGACAATTGAGTAGAGGAATATGAAAAGGAAGGAGCGTTCATATTTGGGATTTGATGTGAATTTATTGAGGAATTATAAGCTGTTATTGATGCATAGGTTACTTTAGGAAATAATTTAAGCGTTTCTTTGAAAGACAAGCTGTTTTCAGGCATGTAATGTTTTATTTTTTTTTTGACGGTCAAATTCTGGACATAACTCCCATTCGTTAGTGAAGTGTTTACCTTCACAGGAGAGACATGTTTTATTAAAAGATGATAAAGAACAAGAATCGGAAGGGTGGGACTCATGACATTTAAGACATCTAGGGTTGCT